GACCACAGACTGACCGGACAGCCGAAGCTACAGACACATATCAAACATCGTCTCTGCTTTAAACCTCATTAGCAGGTCAAACGGCGCCGTGTTGAACCCAAACGAAACGGGAAAAGCCACACTGTCATCTTACCTGTCCCTTGTCCTGTACCTTCACGCCGTCAGCAGCATCCTTCAGGGCGCAGACATCTTGGATTACTGAACATCGCGGGCTGTTTGCGCCTGCTCATCACGGCACTGCCCCCTGCTGGACGGGAGGAGGAGCTGTAACAGCTGGGGAAACCGGAAAGACGGTTTTGCTCAACTTCAACAAAGTCAACGTAATCTCCCTTATTTATTGCACATCCAGCATTAGGTGGTACGTGGTTATCGATATTAACACTTTTAATTTTTAATAATATTCAATTATTCAAACAAAACATCAAATTGTGAGTCCCTGTATACCAGCTTTCTCTAAAAAACTCAAAGCAGCTCACCTGGCGACAATGACTATGTCACATTCACTCACTTAAATTACTGTTTTGTTCCCATATTAACATGATAGCATCGCAAAGCTGCTGCAAATTTGTTGGCTGTACATTCTTGATTTGAATCTCCTCTTCCACAATATCCCAAAGGTGCTCTATTGGATTTAGATCTGTTGACTGTGGAGGCCATTTGAGTACAAGTTTTTTTTAAAAAAAATAAGAAAAAACAGTTTGAGATTATTTTGGCTTTGTACCTTAGCACATTATCCTCCCGCACACAACCATCAGAAGATGTTTGCAAAGCAATGAAGACAATCAGATGGTACCAAGGAACCCAAAGTGTGTCAAGAAAACATCCCCCGCTACAGCCAGTTAATGGCAAATTCTGGTACTAACACGTGAATGTCAGCAGAAATCGAGACAGGCCACGTTTTTTCCCTAAATCTTCTCTTGTCCAATTTCACTGAGCCTGTAGCCTCAGTTTTGTGTTTTTAGCTAACAGGATTGGCACCCAGTGTGCTCTTCTGCTGTTACTTTTGCCTTCCTCTCAGCTGGAAGCAGTCTGGCTATTCTCTTCATAACTCCGATATCAACAAGCATTTCCACCCAGAGGACTGCTGCTCACTGGATATTTTCTCTCTTCTGTGAACACTGGGCTTGTTATGTGAGAAAATCCCAGTAGAGCAGCAGTTTCTGAAATACTCAAAGCAGCCTGTCCATCACCAACATCTATGCCACGTTAAAATTCACTTAATCACCTTGATCCACTCGATGCTCAGTTTGACCATGTGTACGTCCATAATAAAGAGTTGCTGCCATGTAATAAAGTGGCCAGTGAGTATGTTTCAATATAATGTTAATGCTTATGTCTGCTAAATTACTCCCCCAGACCCATAATGTAATGTCCATTATTTAACGTATTTATATAAATATGTCCTACATTTTAATAGATTGTAGTGGCCTGAAAATTCACAGACACTGAAGTTGGTATGATCCCCCTGCAAGACCGTCTGTTGGTCAGTCAACCAAAGTGAATTAATAAACAAGTTGATGGTCTGAGAAAGAATTCACTTGCATATTCGTCATGAGATTATGTTGACTTCTCGTTGATCACCTGAGGCTGATAATAGGATTAAATCAGATTTAACAGTTTTCTTGTGGAAATGAGCGTTTGGCTCAGTGGTGTTGTTACCTGACTCGAGGAGGAGAATGAAAAAAATTAATGTTACACTGGCCATAATCTCCCTTGTGTGACCTGGACCAGAATAATCCTGTCATGTACAATTTTCATAATGAAACCGCATGAATATAAAAGTAGCATCTAGTAACATCGGTTTTGTTTTGTTTTTTTAATTAGAACTGAAAAACAAAAGCATTTCCCATTTTTAAAAATCTGAATTGGCCTCATTTTTAAGACCGTACTCATTATTCTATGAAACCTGTAGACCCGCTAAACATATGTGACTGGGAATGAAATAAATAAATGGTGTCTGCACGTTAACAAGGTATTTTAATCCAGTGAATTTATAACCGTAATTATTTTTCATACACCTCACACTTCACTAACGCGATTTCCCTTAGAGGATTAACCCATTTAAACCGCATGAATCATCTTTTGCTCAGGTTTTGCTTCAAAGAAAATGTGCTGCTGGTATCAGAAGCCAATTTAGAGCTCACATTTACACAGTTTCAGTCTAATTTTAAGTTATACACAAAGACGATATAACCTTTATTAAAATATTTTATTTGGAACAATTCACATTTGCATAATTTCAAGTTTCCACTGACAGCTGTGGCGGCAGGGTTTTGACACATTCAGGCAATTTGAAATTGTGAGATATTTTGTTTTCACAATAGTTGAAAAAAGTTAAAACTCTAACAGAGTATAAACCATACAGAAATTCTCAAAGTGAAAACATTTTTTGAAAAACGATTAAATCATGCAGAGTGAAATTCAACCTGTAAATATAACGTATAGGTCACTTTCTTCTCTTGAGGTCAACAATAAAAGTTAAATATTTAAAGTTGGCTCCCACAAAGAATGTTTTCCAGTACACACCAGTCACAATTCATTAACCTGACATGTGAAGGTATACAAAAGCAGTTCACGATACAAAATATTCACAGTACTTTTGAAGTAAAAATGATATACGTATGAAAAGGCTGCGAAACATGTGGTCTCAAACGTTTTAAGGCATTTTAAGATGATTAATAAATAACTGGATACTTTAAAAACTTCAGCAGAGGTAAAAACAGGCGGTCACCGATCAGCTGGTGGAGGTGGTCACTTATTGCAGAACAGCAGCGCTCGCATTCAGCGAAAACTCACTGGGGAGAAATTCTCTCAATAGAAACGACAGGAGCATCTGTTACGGGAGTGGAGACGTGAGAAAGAACAATTTATGTGCAACATACAGTGAAAAGTGAGAATTTGATACAAAAAAAATGAGGTGTACTGAAAAAGGAAGTTTGGATACTCACGTAAACCAGGGTTTTGTTTTCCTCTCTGTCCTGGAAAAGATTGAAAACAGACTCCATGTCTGTCTTCTTCAGGAACAAAACATTTGAATCTATGGCAAAGACAAAACAAAAAAAACAACTTTAGATGGATTACTAAGTGCCACATCAACTGCTGCACTGCAGAAAGGTGGCGTTACATTTGGCATTGATGAGGTTATGCGCTCGATCCCTGGTCTTGTCCTTCTCCTCATCGGTACGAGGAGGATGAGGCGTTGGTGGAGGAGACTCTGGCCACAGTTTGCTACGCAGATTGTCGATGTACGAAGCCATTTGCGCCTGTGTTGGGTTCACCTTTCTTAGGAAAGAGTTCACTTTCCTGGAGAAAAATATGCAAAACTCATGAGTCATTCATAGACTGGGATATAACAATGTTTGACCCGTGGGAGCGCGCTGGTGCCACTTACTTTTTCAAAATGGGCATAAAAGGTTTCAGAACCGTGTCGAAGATATTTATGAGGAAGGAGTTTCCTGTAAGGGAAATAAGAGTGTTAGTGTCATCTTAGAGTAGCACCATGTTGCATGTTTTTAGTTTGTCTTAACTTGCCAGTAAAGGGTGGGAAAAACATCCAAGTAATCAGACACAGCAACGTAGCTTTATAAAACTCATTAGCTCACTCAATGTTGCACTGTGTTCAGTACCAAAGTGCCAAATACAAGCATCATACATAATGTGATGCTTCTAGAAGGTTGTGTAGGTTCTAATGTGAAGTGCTTTTTGTCTTATTTGCACACGATAACAGAATTATTTCAGGAAAACAAAAAAAAAAAAAAGGTCCAGTATCATTAGCCCCCCTGCTGCTGTGCAGTGACAGGCTTTACCTTTGTAATTCTCAGTGCTTGTAAAGTCAAGTTAAAACTGAAGGTTATCTTCCAATTTACACACAGTATGAAAACGTCTTCAAAGAGTTGAGCTGTCATTTGTGAAAGCACTGTGCCAAAAACAAAAGAAATCAGTTTGGACTTGAGAAAAAGAATTGTTGATGCTCACAAAGCAGGGGATGGATATATAAAGTTATCACAGCAAAGTTATCACAGAAGTATCATCAAGAAACTCAAAAAGCCACAATAAAGAACAAACCTGCCAGAGATGGGAAGAGTGTGGAAAGGAAACTAGTGAGCGATGTGACTAAAGAACAACTGTCATGACTTGGCCAATATGGGAACTGTAGGCTCAAAGAAGACCAAAGCTTTTGCAGGAGAAACAACTTCAAGCCAGACTAAATTAAGCTAAAGACAACCTTGAGAAAGATTATCTTTACTGGAAGTTTGTCCTGTAGACAGATGAAGTGAAACTAGAGCTATTTGAACAAAGAGATGCTGCTTATGTTTAGAGAAACACAGCAGAGGTGTGCAATCCGAAGAGCACAGAACCCACAGTGAAACACGGTGGGAGTATAACAGTGCCTGAATGCTGAAACTGGGAATCTGGTTAAGGTGGAAGGAATCGTAAAGGAATCGAAGGATATGTGAATATTCTGACAGAAAACCTCAAGCAGTCAGCAGCGAAACTGGGTGTGGGTTATTGCTTTGTCTTCCAACATGACAGCAACCAGTCGCGTCCCATTAAATTGGATGACTAAAAGATCAAATCTGGAAGAACTAAAGAGATGAAGAAGAATGGGCTGCGACTGCTCAGGAGACGCATGCAAGACTTGTTGAAAACAGTAAACGACGGCAGGCTGTCCAACAAAAACAATCACAACTGACTGTTGGCATCAGTGGGGTTAATCATTTGGCCCCTGGTAGTTTGTCTTTTATGAAATCATTTTATTTCTGTGTGCAAAGTAAAAATAATGTA